ACATATTGGTAGAGGTATTATGGAAATGTAATTATACAGACTTCTATAAATTAAAATACGAAAATACTGTCAACAGTCCGATTCCCATGGATTTTAGTTAATGAAATGCAAATCGCAATCCGTAAAAAAGGAACGACGATTTTTCAAAATTCCAACAAGCATTTACTTTCGTGCCCCACCGTTACCAATTTTTCACTTTGTCAAGGAAGCTTCTTTTCTTAGCCAAGTAGAATAAAAAATAAATGCCCTCAAAAAAACGTATTAATTCAGTCTCCCGCGGATCAAACGTTGCGCTTCGCTGTAGAGGAATTTCTTCAAGCCCCAAAAATCTTCAAACAAACGCAACAATGAGCTTGAATACCGAATTTACTCGGTGGGTGTCGCGTAGCTTTAGTTTCCCCGTCACTTTGTGAACCACCTTTTATATGCCAACACACGTGTAGACGCTCGACGTTTTTTCCAAGAAGCACAGTCGGACATTGGTCGAAAAACAAGACGTGTAGGAAAAAAAAAAAGATTTGACCAAAAGGGCGCGATTTGGAAATCAGGGGTGGCGGTTCTTTAATACAATTAACGCTCGTAATATGTGTGGATAGGCGCGAGGCTTACGTATAGGAGGGGCTTTGTTCGAGAGAAGGCAGATTTTGGGGCTTTGATGCGCGCATACCTTAAAAAAAGAAAAAACACTTTCACTTCTTGGAGCTTGAAGTGCAATGTATATTTATATATACGCCCAAGACCATCGTTGGATCGAATTGTGTGGGGCGAGATCAACAAGGCGAAGTAGAGCGTATAGAAGATAATATATTTATTTGGACAGGACAAGTGTTCCATTGGTCTTTTTAGCCTTCATTGGGAGTAAAATAACATAAAGACAAAGTTTTATTTATGCACACTTACCCTGTATTGTCGCCATCATAGTCAGTTTTGCTCCAGTCGTTGTCTATATCTTTGGAGATATCTGAAAAACAAAATAAATGATTTATGAAACTTTGAATGTTATTTTGCACTTTCACAATGGATCGGAAAATTTGAAATAATTACTAAGTATGAAACCAAATTATTCGAGTGTTTCATGACTTATTAATTAAACATTTTTTACCGCACATTTTTGCATGGAAATGCTATGTTATCTTTTCCTTAATAGTTAAAAATTCTAAAAAATAATTAATCAACTGCCATCTAAAATGTACTTTTTTTATTGTTTATTAATCACACAATATTTTAAAAAGGTAAATTTTTTGCCATTCGTAAGTATTCAAAGACAGCATCTCCCGACCGAGTAACGCCCCATCAGCCAAGCCATAAACACGGGAAACTCAAAAACGCATCGGGGGGAAGAAAAAAAAAGGTGCACCCATAAAAAAGAAGAAAATATTACCCCGCGACAGGCTACACGATCTCGGAACGAATCGCGACTTTCTTATTCTCTTTCTCTCTCTCTCTCTCTCTCTCTCTCTCTCTCACCTGCAGTGCTCATCACAAACACACACCAGAAAAACGTTATTGCCAGAGAGCACCTCGAATCCCCTCCATTTATATACAACTTTGTCTCAAAAGAGATCAGACCTTGGCTCTCAAAGGCCTTCCGACCAGTCCACTTTTAAATCTAATCTACGATAACTCGGACAGTCTAGGGTAGTTTTCGGGTACGTCGCGCCCGGGCGTTGCAGCTTGGTATTTGGCATATGCCACGGAATTTCGGAGAATTAAGAGCAGCTTTTTTTTTCTTTGTCGACCTGTCTCGCGATAATTAATAGCTTCTGATATCAGAGTCTTGAGTATGACGCGTGCCGATACGGACATTTCAAATAATTTTCTTTTGGTGAAGTGCACCACCTTTTCTTTAGAGGATGAATTTCGTCGTTAAGAAATGAGTATTCAATGATCATTTCACACATGATGTTTCAAATTAATGTGTACCCATTGAGGTTAATTGCTACACTTTATGTAATAATGCAAAATGTATTTATACTTATGACCACCCAAAAGAGACCCTACGTGTCAATTTGTCAAACATTACGAATGAATTGTGAAGTAAAAAAATTAGTTTCCACAAAATCCATGTGACACGTGTAATTTTTCATTTTGTTACGATATAAAATAAGAGTACATCATGAAAATGAATACACATGCAAAAAAAAAAAATTTGGAAAAAGTAAATTAATTGGCTCAAGTTATTTCCATTTACAGGACTGCTGTAACAGTTTGTGTTTAGAGTCAAACTACTTACTTTATACTGTAGTACTCATAATTAATTGTGGTAGCCTTTACTTGGTGAAGATTGATGCTAGTCATATTGGTAAAATAAATAAAACTCTCTTTATAGAGTATTTAATCTTCACTTTATTGTATATAATACACACTTTATAATAAACTGAAAATTAAATACTCTGTATAAAGAATTTTAATTATTTTACTAATATGTAGTACTCATAGTGATAATAATAATAA